AAAGTTTGCCTGGAGATCAGAGGTCAAATAGTCAGCCATAAATAGAAATCAGGTGGTGGTAGCACATACCCTTAATCCTGATACATGCCTTTAATTCCAGTACCTGGAGGACTGTATGGACAGGCAGTGACAAGGAAGTGATGTGGCTGGGCTTAGAGCCAATGAGAAGGCAGAACAGGAAGGCAATAAAAGCACAGGTTAGACAGGAAGGAGCTCTCTTGGGAAGCTACGGCAGTGAGGTGGTGAGCTAAGGCTAGTCATGGCTATTTGCCATTTCTCTGATCTCTTCAGCTATTACCTCTGTATTTGGCTCTGTGTGTCTTATTTAATAAGACTGTTTAGAAATTCATCTACAAAAGTCTGTCATTACACCTGGATGTTGTTGTCACAAATGTACCTATTTCAGTCTCAATATAACTCTACCTTCTACTCTGTGGGTCATACACTTTGTCCATGGCCATTGTGTGCTCTCCAAACCCATTTAGCTCCACTAAAATTATTTGCTAATCCCTTAAAAATTGTCCACAATCCCTATTTTCCCCCTTTCTTGTAGAACCAGGGTACACAGTATCTGAATGACATGGAGCTGGTGCATAATGACCTCATGATTGCCTCTGTGCACATCATAAATGTGCGTGTCTCTTTTCCAATTAACCAGTCAGTTTAGTCCGGTGAACCTTAGTGGGCAAAAGGCAAATTTTCCTTCTTGTCTAGTCCAATCAAACAGATTGAACTGGCATAGGAAAGCTGTGGGAAGGATGAGAGTGGATGGAAAAGTCAGAAATGTGTCTGTGAATATCCAAGTGAAAAGCAGAGGAAGCAGATGAACAGTTGAGATTAGAAGCTGCAGGTGTCTTTTAAAACAACAGCGCTAGAGGAGACGAACCAATAAGTGAGTGCAACAGAGGGACACCACCATCAGGGTGTTCTGAATGTCAAGGAAAATAGAATGCATTCACTTCTAAAGGAAAGCTAAGGTGATGATAATAGAGAATTAACTTCTCACTGGATGAAAACACTCTCAAGATTACAATGATTTTGACTAGAGTATCTCCAAAATGAGTATTTTACCAGCCATTTCAGTGTTGTGTGGGGGAGTATACATGTACGTGTGCATGCACACACAAGGGGTGTGTGTGTGTGTGTGTGTGTGTGTGTGTGTGTGTGTGTGCGTGTGCATGCGCACGCGCAAGTTATAGGTGATGTATTAAGTATTGAAGGATTGCTGGGGTTAGTTTAGTGCTGAAGAACCTGCCTGTCATGTGCTCGGCTCTAGATTTAATCCCAGCACCTCTTTAAAAGCTTATTAACGTAATATTTATAGAACACGATATCTCTATGTTCCAGAGTGGGTTTGTTGTTGTTTTGGGTAAAAGCTCACTGGAGTCTTTTTGGGAGAAAATCAAGGTAGAATTTGCAGACTTCTAACACAGACAACTATTTCAAATGGTTTTGCTGTAAGCAGGGAGAGGGGAATAGAGTAGTGGCTAGCACATAAAGCAGATGATAATTCAGTAAAAAAAAAAAATCAACCAAGTATTTGTATGGTAAATATCAGAATCAATAAGGAGGCACTAAAAAAGTGAGACAATGTCTTCATGGAATTCTTGAACAGACAGCACAGGTGACATCTAGTGTTCAAATGAAAGGCTTGTCCTAAGCTAGCAAGAAGATGGGTCCTCCACAGTCTCTGGAGTACATCGTTGCAGAGACAGGCAGTGAGGTACATTTGAAAAGTTAGTGGATGGAAATTCTCTTCTTACACATATCTTCTCTGCCACCCACTGAGACAGCAGGGGATGTTAGAGGAGAGCTGAAAAGGGAGGAGAAGGGGAGTGGTGTAGTTATTGGGCAGCGCTATGGAACCTTTCCATCAGTGGCCATGCATGATGGAAAGAGAGTAGCGGCATGATTGTAGGTGTTCCTCCAGCCACACTATCTTTATACCTGTAGGTAGGGGTCAGAGAAGTATCACAGAAATTCAAGGAAACTGAAGGTCAAGGATGGAGTCTAAAGTGGGTAAGAGAGAAGAGAGGACCGAAGTGAATTATGCAACAGCGATTTCTTCCCACCTCAGAGGTTTTTGATGTTTACCTACTAAAATCATTTATGTCTCATTTATCTTTATCTGAAGTTTTTTTTTAATGGACATTTGAATAGAGCAGAATCAAGGGAGAGAAAGGTTAATTGAATACACAAAGGAAAAATCCCAGAAAATTCTGTCTACCCTCTAATCTCCAAAAAAACGTCGGAACTAGCTATGTTACTTGCAGTTTTGACTGCTAATAATATTTATACTTTGAAAATATTTATATTCTGTGCTGTGATTAAAGAAAACATTTCCATTTGGTCTTTATTTGAAAGATGGAGGAAAAAGAGCTCAAAGATAAATCTAAATCTAGACAAGTGCTGAAGGAACAAGATCTATATATCAGACCTTTGTGAGAAATATAGGCTGCTATCATGTTAAATAGAAAAAATATTACTCATAGAGCATCTCATTAAGTCATTTGGACATGTCTTATTGCCTAATGGGGAACAGGTTCTCAGGTGAAACTGAGGACCAACAAAGGTCCTCTGTAGGAGTGGAGCCACATAGAATAGGTAATAAATGGAGCCATGGCTCACGTTTAGCCCCTTAGATGAACAGATCCACATAGTGGTCATTCTCACAAATATGACAGAGCAAATTTCCACATTAGTTTTTTAGCCTCAGGGAGGGGAGACCCAGCAGGGGACTCTAAGACTAACCCCCATTGTTATCTAAGTTTAATTTCTATTCTAGTTTTAAGGAGATGAAAGATGCACATTCAAAGATCTCTATTTAATTCACTAGTCTGGATATCGTATAAGCCAGACAACTTCCAGACAAAGACTGAATTAAGTAATAGCCCAAATCTAAGAGGCTGTGTGTTTTTCCAGAGCAGATTGTTATGGATTTAAGTCCATTGTGTAGAGCCATTAATTTAGCAAATGGGTGACTTTCTATGAGAAAGATGGATCAAAAACACTTTATGTAGTCTTGAAACAGACAATACATGTATTAACAGTCCTAAACCCAGATGATACTAATTATGCTCCTCGCCATCACAACATAGTATGAAAGACCTAAGCTGGTACACAATTTGAGCATCTAAGTGGTACAATCCATTAATGGCATGATACAAATCCAACTAAATGAGTAGGAAATCACAAGTACATTGGTGGCTTTAGTAAGGCACATGAACTCTAGAGACAGAGAGACGGTTTCCAACATTTCTCCACCCAGAGCAGAGGACAGGCCATTGCACTAAGCAACAGTTTTTACACAGAAGCAACACAAGCCTGAAAAACCTGCCTCAGGTATTAGAGACAACATGTCTCATACCCAAAAGTGTATTAAAACTCACTCATGCAAAAGCATTTCTCCTCTGAATGTTGACTAGAATAATGAAGGGCTTCACAGCATGATCTGGCTGCAATGACCGGCAATAAGACACAAAAACTGTGATAGTACCGGGGTGGTAAAAGAAGCCACTCAGAGGCTATACAATAGTAGGAGAATGATAATTTAGATTCTTCTGACTCTGATACAAGAGAAATATACCTTTATTGAAAATTAGATCCTTGAAGGATACTAAACACCAGTAGAGAAAGAAGCCTGAGCAGAGACAAGCCCATCATGAGCGAGGTTCTCTTAGACCAAAAGTGTCATACAATAATTTGACTCCATAACCAATGAAAGTAGATCCATTGGTAATACCCAACACAGAGCATGAGGAGAGCTGAAAGGCACAATTCAGTCTGATGATCAGGTCATCCTTTCTCATGTTACCCACTACTCTTGCTAAGTACCTTTCTGTCTGTACTCTCTGGTACAGAAGGTGGAGGAAGAAATCACATGGGTTTGTTTTATATGTAAGTGATATGTGTGTGTGTGTGTGTGTGTGTGTGTGTGTGTGTGTGTGTGTGTGTGTAGTGTAGTGTTGACTGGGACCTGGAAAGAGGAAAATCAAAATGGTAAGAAAAAACATTTGAGATAAGCATATGGATATGCTTATTTGGATGGGTACCAGGAGTGAGGATCTATTATATATTGGACGTTAAAATCTTCCAGAGAGCATTCATTCAGAAAGAGAGGTACTAAACAGTAAGGTAGATAAAGTGATTGCCTGTTGACATTAGCCCGACTCTGTCATCAGCCACATCAGTGCCACAGTGGGAGGATCCGTGAAGTAGACACAGTGACAGGGCTGGAGGATCTGCAGGAAACCAACACCCACTCATCAACACTTACTTGGTTACGGTTGCAATCAATGTTTTCCTTGCCAACAACAAAGAACAATAGTGATTGAATCCCAAATGTGGCATGGTCTGGCAGAGACACAAACAGCCACTTGCTTGCAAGTTGAACACATCTGAAGAGACAGTGAGTCATCTTTATGGAAATAAACCATTTTGGCGTTCCTGTTCCTAGGGTGTCAAAGATACCACTACATGAGGGCATCAGGGATGACTGCTGTCCTGGCATGAAATCCCATGTAATATCAAATCCTAACAAAGGGTCTGGGTAATAGCAAACAAGCTGCAAAATAAAAAAAAAGACCACATGGCCCGAGGTCCCATGTGTTACATCAAATACCACATGAACACATCATCCTGAAAGAATGTTTAGGAAAGACACGGCAATAACTTTCTGGAAACAATGTACATTTTATATTAATGTCCTTAAGTGATATTGGATCCACAGAGATGTCCAAACATGGTTATATGAACCATAGCAGGAAGAAGGTACCCCTCTTTACCTTCACTCCTAGAACCCAATTGGGAGATACATACTTCCTTTTTTTGTAGTTCTGTGTTTTTCATGTCTTTTCACCAAAGAAACAGTATTTCCACCAGGGGGCAGAGCAAGGGTACTACTGAAATACAAGTCGGACCTGACAGCTGTGCTTTGTGTCAAAATAATTAACAACAACAAGTCAACATCATAATAGGACCCTATCAGGAAGAGGTGGGCCTGCTGCTGTACCAGGGTAACAAGTTGCCCAACCTTGATGGTACATGGGGAAGCACATGAACTACAGTGAACTTGAACCTGAGATGGGCAGGATGACCAGGGGCTCTGACTTCTCAGAGTCTGAATCCTGACACCAGGTGAGCCATTTGATCCAGCTAAGAGAGAGAGGGCAATCTGGAATGGTTGGCAGAAGAAAATAATGGCATCACTGTGGTCTAAGACCAGCTGTGGAAGGGAGGCCATGAGACGCCTCAAGAGAAGAGACATCTAAAGGCTGGAATAGTTTTTATCAGAATTTACACAAAGAAGTGCGTCTAGAGGCCGGGGAATGGCTCAGGTAGGAAAGCCCCTGCCTTGCCTGCTGTCTACAGGGACACTGGCGCTCCTCCCAGATCCTTCCGCTGACTGCATTAGTCCTCCCCGAGGCTCTCAACCCTCAGCTGTTTCTGGAAAGCCGCCTGTGTTAAGTCGCTTAAGAATTGCCCCGTGGAGCCGGGCGGTGGTGGCGCACGCCTTTAATCCCAGCACTCGGGAGGCAGAGCCAGGCGGATCTCTGTGAGTTCGAGGCCAGCCTGGGCTACCAAGTGAGCCCCAGGAAAGGCGCAAAGCTACGCAGAGAAACCCTGTCTCAAAAAACCAAAAAAAAAAAAAAAAAAAAAAAAGAATTGCCCCGTGGAAGCTGGATTTGTCCCTCTGCCCAGTCGGTCTTCCCTTCCTTCCTTCCCCTGCCCTTCAACAGAGGGTGACTTCAGGGACACTCCCTCATCGACTTCCTGAACACTGTCCTCGGAACCTGCTCCCTAGAAAACCAAACAAACAGCACAAAGGAACAACATCATGTGTTTAAAAAGAGAGATGCTTTTCTACTTAGCAGGATTTTAAAATATATGCATTTCACATTCAGGTTTATATTTCTTATTTGGTTTGAAATTTTGTTTTCTTTGTTGCAAGGTTTCTCTCTGCAGCCCAGGCTAGTCTCAAACTCCCAACCCTCCTGCTTCAGCCTCTCAAGCGCTGGAACAACAGGTGTGTTGTACCACTCCTGGCATATTTAGAGATCCAAAAAAAAAAAAAAGAACTTGGCAACTTTGTGCTCACTGATAAATTAGCACCCACGTACTATAGACAAAACCTCCTGGCCGTCTAATGTAACATATCTTCAATTAACCAGAATGTCCACTGCTGGGTTCATTTACAAGGCTCTGATTTCCATTTCTTTATACCACATGCCTGGTTGGGGGTCATTTGAATTTCTGGCATTAGATCATTTGGAGACCCTAATTACCTTATTCCAAATGCTTGTTTATACTCAGGGGAGCAGAGAGTTGTCTAAATGGCACTGTCTCTTCCCCAGGACACCACACTCTACACATGGGAACCCTGAACCACATGACTGAATCCCCCCCCTTTTTTTAAAATTAAATTTTATTTATTTTTGTATACCAACCACGGTTTCCCCTCCCTCCTCTCCTCCTGTTCCCTTCCCCCACCTGCCATCTACTCCCCACCCCCACCCATCCCCTCCTCCTTCATCTCCATTCAGAAAGGGTAAGGCCTCCCATGGGAGTCAACAGAGCATGGCATATCAAATTGAGGCAGGACCAAGCAGCTCCCCGCTGCATCAAGGCTGAGCGAGGCATCCCACCATAGGGAATAGGTTCCAAAAAGCCAGCTCATGAGCCAAGGACAGGTCCTGGTCCTACTGCTAGGGGCCCCACAAACAGACCAAGCTACACAACTGTCACCCACATTCAGAGGGTCTAGGTGGGTCCCCATGCAGCCTCGCTTGCTGGATGGGACTTTTAACAGCCCATTTCAGAACACGTGCAGGAGCTGTTGAGTGCTCCTTTGAATGAGTTCTAGAGCATGAACGGAAATACAGTGAATGGATTCAGATCCCAGCACCCTCAGCACACACTGTATACAGCACAGCAGTCCAGATGAACGGCCTGAGTCTCACTCCTAATGGACACTCAGAACAGCAGGCCAGTCAAAGCACAAGGCTTCAGCCCCAGGTCTTGTCTCCAGGTTTCTTATCTGTCTCCAGGAAGGAACTCAGGCTGTGTGTTTTCCTCTCTCGTTTCCTGTACTCAGCTACAGTATATGGTCTGGGACTAAAAGCTCTGTCAGCCTCTGGCGCTCTGTCTTCAGAGAAGCAGCAGAATGACGAGACAGATGCCCCAGAGCCAGGTGATAGTGAAAAGTCTCTAGGGAGCATAGACTGAGAGTCAGGCCTCTTTTGTGCATACATCTTTTATTAATAAATGAATACTTCGTTGTTGAGCGCGCTACCTCTGTATTCTGATCCCAACAGAGACTTCACATTTCTGTATCCAGGATGCCCAATATCAGATAATCACAGGTTCCCAAGCAGAGTACATAAACAATTTTTAAGATCTACGCAGTACTTTTTCATTAACTACGTGAGCACAAGAGGCAAAACCCAGGACACAGATTTTCTAAATTGTTCTCAACATTTTACCCTTAGAATTAACAACCTGAAAAGTCTTATGAGCCTACTTGCCTTATTTATAAAATGGTTAGAAGAGCTGAGTGGGTATGCTGATGAGAGCATGAGGCACTAGGTGTCAGGAAACAGAAGGATGTGCTGTTGTTTCATTTTAAAAGAGCTGACAGTGTATAACGTTGTATCAGAGGGTGTGGTGGTTTAAATGAGAGCTGTCTCCCATAGGCTCAAATGTTTGAATACTTGGTCCCCAGTTGGTAGCCCTGTTTGGGGAGGCTTGTGAGGTACATCCTTGAAGGAGGAAGTGTATTCTTGGGGAGGGTAAAGGTAGCTTTGAGAATTCATAGCCTTGGGGTACTTTCAGTTTGCTACCTCTGCCTTGTGTTGGGGGAGGGGGCATTGAAATGTGATCCCTCAGCTTCCTTCTGCCTCCATGCCTGCTTGCTCCCATACCTCCCCACCAAGATGGACTCTTGTCCCTCTGGAAGAGTAAGCCAAATAAATCTTTACTTCTATAAGTTGCCTTGGTCAGTTTTCTTTTTTTCACAGCAACAGAAGAATAACTAATACAGAAGTTATAACTAAAAGAATAGACTTTAGAGCCCCAGCGATAGTGGGTTAACTGAATATAGACCCCTGCCCTTCCCAGGGCCCGGCAAATATCAATCTTTCCTCACAGCCACATTGGCAGTTAGATAAGCACTTTCTGTACCATGGAATACAGAACATTATGAAATGTACCTTTTTCATTACCTCATATTATAAAAAAGTAACCAGGCTGGATTTCTGTTATCTGATAGCTGCAAAAATTTTACAATAATCTCCGAAACCCTCCAGGGCTCATTGACAATAGAAACAATTGTTTTGTGTTATTAATACTTGATTTGCTTCTGCCTGTCATGGTGATTATCTCAGTCTATTCCAGCTGCTGTTACAAAATACCATATATTGGGCAATTAATAAACAACAGAAATTTCTCATGTTTCTTACACCCAGAAGTCCAAAATAAATGCACTCTCTGATTCTGTGTTGGTGGGAGTCTTTTCCTGGTAGATAGTGTTTTCTGTATCCCTCTAGGGTGGAATAGACAGGCCGACTAGCTCTCTTCAACCTCTTTTAATCTTTTAACAGGACACTATTTCCATACCTTATGGTAGACCCCTCATTTCTTCATCATTTCCTTATCATTTCCTCACCATTTCCTCATTATTTCAAGAGCCCCTATGGTGATATTTTATTTGTACTGAAATGTGATTTTATTTGTATGTTAATAAACAAAGTTGCCTGGGAGTCAGAGCTAATAGCAAGCCATAGCAGAAGCCAGGTGGCAGCTGCGCACACCTTTAATCCCGATCACATGACAGACAGATCTCTGTGTGTTCAAGGATACAGCCAGCATGGAGACACACGCCTTTAATCTCAATACCAACCACAGAAGACTTGGAGGTCTGTATAGACAGGCAATGACGAGGAGGTCATGTGGTTGGGTTTACAACCAATGAGAAGGCAGAACAGAAAGTCAATAAAAAGACAGACACACAGGAAGTAGGCCTCTTTCTGAGGGGAAGGATGGCCGCAGCAGCAAAGGGTAAGAAAGGGTTTTTAGTATCAGCTCTTAGCTACTGCTCTGACCTCTTGGGCTTTTAACTCTGCATTTGGCTCTGCATTTCTTATTTAATAAGACTGTTACATCTATAGCCCCAGCTCTTATCTCTATCACGGAGTGCTGGAACTGCACAACTGAATTTGGAGGGCGCTACTGTTCACATGTCACTGGGGTACTCCCAGCATGAAGAAAAGTGGCGCATCAAAGATGGCCCGCTTGTAGGATGATGGTTCTGCCGCAATGAGGGTACTAGCCAATGCCACTGTGGAAAATAATTTTTGTAACACTCACAGAGCTTGACTCCACTTTCATCAAAACTAAAGTTCATTTCATGGGTTTGCCTTCTTTCCCGAGGCATATGCTATGGAAATAGCTTGTATGATAGTTTTGGAAAAGTTCTACTACAGGGCTGGTGAGATGGTTCAGAAAAGATGCTTGCTACCAAGCTTGACAATGTGAATTCTATCACAGGACCCACAGGATAGAAGGGGGGAACAGATTCCTTCAAGTTGCCAAGTTGCCTTCCTACCCCCCCTCCCCCACACACACACAGACAAATAGAAACTGTAGGACTGGATCAATGGCTCAGCAGTTAAAGGCACTTGCCACTCTCACAGAGAAGCTAAGTTTGGATTCCAGCATCCACACTGAGAGGGTCACAACTGCCTGTGACTCCAGCTCCAGGGGATCCAACACTCTCTTCTGGCCTCCCAGGCACAGATACACACACAGACACAGACACGCATACATACAATTAAACAATAAAATGGACGTGATTTTTTTAAAGGAAACACTATCACAATCAACTTCATGATGACAATACAATATATTGTCAACGTTCCTCTGTTTAAAAAGAGAAGGGAAAGTTAATGAATATCTATATGTTTATGATAAAGTTTAAGTTGAATCTATACTTACTATGTGGCTACTGTAAGGTTGAGTTTTTCTTTACATGTATCTGATTCCAGGCAACTTTCTGTACTGTTGAAAGTCTTTTTGTAAGTAGGTTCAAGGTGTGTAAACACTTTGTAACTGTGAAAGTTTTCAAGACGAGACTAGATAATTGGAATGTTGAGTATCAAATATCCTACTCAGATAAAGACAAAAACCATGTTTGCATAGAAAGTTCACTTAACTCTGTAGCTCTCTGATGACTCTTTTACCATGACTTGACTTGTTAACTGAGTTTTGTAACTAGTATAAAAAGGTGGTAGGAAAGCCAGGTGCAGCAACACATATTTGTAATTCCAGTGCCGGAGAAGTGGAGACAAGCGGATCCCTGGAGCCCATTGGCCAGGTAATCTAGCTGAACTGATAAGTTCTGGGTGCAATGAGAGACCCTGTCTCAATAAATAAGGTATGAAGCAATGGAGGAAGACATATGTTATTGTAGTCCCCCATCAACATGTATATATGTACATCCACACACATTTGACACAAACAAACCTGTATATACACCACAAATGCACACACACACACACACACACACACACACACAGAGAGAGAGAGAGAGAGAGAGAGAGAGAGAGAGAGAGAGAGAGAGGAGAGAGAGAGGGAGAAGCCTGATGGACAGAGCCAAGAATATTTAAATAAAATTTATTTCAAAAAAAATTAAAAAAAAAAACAATGAACACAGTGCAGACTCTTTCTCTTTTCTATTACATCATCAATGAAAATGAAAAATGACTGCGGTAATCCTCTAACCTATGACTAGAAGCAGTGTGATAAACTCCTAGGACTACTGGGGCACCTTTAATCTGACAGCCTTGTAGTTCAGCCCTACAGTCCAGACTCTGGGGCTGTCTGCCTGATGCCAATAGTCAACGTCTTCCCCAGCAACACTAGACCACTGGAGGCTCCTATGGGGTGGTTTCAATAAACCCCTTTGATGAGGCCTTTTTGCTTTCCTCCCTTCTGGCAAGAAGCCATTTGTTGCCTTTATTGGGCCATTGTGGGAACACATGGATCACACCATGGAGCCCAGATACGGACTCCAACTCTGCTAGTCACACAGATCAGTATTTAACTTCTACCCTCACCCTGTAGTGACTGTGGTAGCCCTGGACACAGTCTCCTCTGTAAAATGAGGATAATGTGGTTAAATGTACCAATGCTATAAAAAGTAGGTAAAATAAAGAATGAGTCCTGGTATCTTGTGGATGCTTCCAGAAAATATCTAAGTACTTCAATTAATTAAAACATTGCATGATGTTGTTCAAGGTATAGTGTCAGTAAGAGAACTTAATCGGAAGAGAATAAACATCCAGAAATTCCATGGATACATATTTCAGCCCATTTGGGGGGACAGAAAGTCCTCTGCTTTTTTTTCAAATTCTCAAAGGGTGTATGAACCCTAAAAGACCACACAGTCTCTGGTCACATAGCTTTCTCTTGGTACTGACCTCTGGACAGCCTTCTCCCCTGAGCTTCAGGCTGATTCATGCAACTACCAGTGTGTCCACCCAAGTGAGCACATGGCCCTCACTTCCAACCTGGTAAGCCTCGTGGTATGTTACTCAGATCCTCCTTGGAGAATGAAGGGCTAGCTTTTACAAGTACTGCTGTCAAGAGACTCAGTTACGAATGAGCTTTTAGTACTGTTTCAACTAATGATATCTACCTTGCCCAAGATACCACTGGCTTGGGGGTAACGCACATCCAATGACACTAAATGACAAGCTGTAAAGGCCTGGTCCTTTTTATTGAAACAGAAGACAGATTATGGGGCTTTATAACTCTCTGCAAGACCAGCTAAGGCATCATTCTACCCTTATACAATTCTGCCTCGATCTTTTTCTTTCTTTTTCTTCCATTGATGTCAAGTTTAAAGTAGTACCTTTTGCTTCCTAAGGTACTTGGAACACCCAGCAAATCGATGATAAATTCTAGAACCTTCTCTTGTACCTCCTGCAGTAAAGTTTAGCTGGTGACATCTCCCCTCACCTGGCTGAATCAACTCAGAGAAAATCACTATAGAAGATCTCATTGTAAATGCCTCTTTTTAATCCCCTTCTCTGTCAGCTCTTTCAGAGTAAATACCAAGATTCTTGATACGACATAGGAGTCTCTACGTCTAACCTCCATTCATTTCTGTAGCTTCATCTCTTCGCTCTTGAAGTGCATCCTGTTGTCCAGAAACCACAGGAACTTTGAGCTCCTCTTTCACATCCTGCTGTTCTTATTCAGGTATTTGCCCAAATTGTAGCCTCTCCCTGGAATGATTATCACCATTTTTGACATTGGAGATGCCAAGCAATCCTTAAGACTCAGCTGCAGCATTATCTTTTCTGAAAAGCTTCTCACACCATCTATACTGTCACCAGTCATTCCAAGAGTTGCTGTCAACCTGTGTTACTGCAATTATAAAGTACATTGTTGTTATCTGTTTTTATAAGCGTCTCCTTTGGACTCCTTGGGGGTGATCAGTCTGTGCATCATTCCAGCCACTGTCCGCACTATAGCATCTAATATATTGATGTTTCACCAATGAGATATTTGATAAATAATAGCTTTGAATAAATATGACACAAATATGTACTACTTGTATGCAAGCATGCATGCATACACACATAAAGAAACTTAAACTAGATGTGAGTCCTAGCTGATTGTGAGATCGTGACATAGTAATGGGATGACACAGGGTAATCTTTTAGGTTTGTGTGTGTCCCTGTGTGTGTAAGTGAGGTATATACATATGAACACCAGAAGAGGATATCAAGTGTCCTGCTTTATCACTCTGCCTCTTCCTTTCAGAAAAGATCTCTCATTGAACCTGGAGCTGCCTGGAACCAGCAAGTCCCAAGGATTCTCCTGTCTCCTCTCCGCTACCCCACAGTGCTGGGGTTGTGAGTGTGTGGGTGATCACACATAATGTTTTAATGTCGCTCTGGGGTCTAACCTCAGGCCCTCATTCTCATGCAGCAAGCAGTCTTACCACTGAGCTGTCTCTCTAGCTCTGGAAAATGTTTTGGATGGACTTACTTGTGTGTTAACAGGATGTGGTTTAGTTCATGTACTGTTTTAATGATAACACTTTGCTATAAAAAGTTAACAGTAACAATCTCAGACAAATAAAAAAAACAACAGGCCACAGGGAAAATATAAGCACAAGTGTCTGCCAGCTCTAGTCTCTTTCACTTTCTGAGGCTACCCCATCATTCTCCCTGCTTCTGTGTTTACACTAGCTACAATTCTTCCCCCCTTCCCTCAACACTGGCAGCTCTGTATTTCTTCATTCTAATCACATTCTCAGAGAATAAAATGAGTGTCTCTTGCCTCCAATTCCCAATCAGAAAGAATGTGATTGGCTGTGTTCTAGTCAGTTGACCTGCAATCTTGTCACTAGGGAGTAGAAATAAGGAGTCATTGCATAGGCATGGTTGGGTTGTATCTACCTATCCAGAGTAATAGACATTTATCAGAGCAAATGGAGGTTATAACATTGCCAGTATCACACACACACACACACACACACACACACACACACACACACACAC